GTTTCCATTCTCTGAACTGATGTCTGCTCTGCTGCTCTGCCTCTGATGAAGAACCCTACTCCTAGGTTATGTTGCCACCAAGACTTTTTCTGTTTTTTTCCTCCCATTGAGCTATTGTAATGGTTTTGCATCATTGTAGTTATTTTTTTCTTTTAGTTCTGTTTACTTTTAGATCCCTCTCCATAACATTTTGGTTCCATACAATACCACTTTCCTGCTACCATGTTTCGTCTGTGAAGGACAAAACAAAGTTAACGTTTCGGGTCCGGTGACCCTTCCTCAGAACAGATTCCTTCACAGATGTTACCAGACCTGCTGAGCCTCTCCAGCAATTTTGTTTTCGTTCCTGATTTACAGCATCCACAGTTCTTTCAGTTTTTACCATGTTTCATCTATTGGTTGGCATGATGGGGGACCCTGATTCCTCAAAGACTCACATTTCCCTTCTATGGATAATTGCACATGCAATAACATTCAACTTTGGAATGGACCTCTTGTATATTAGAGTTGATCTTTCTTTGCACCTTCTCTGTAGCTTTAACACTATATCTTGCATACTGCTCTATTGTCCTGATGAGCTCACATACGATATGATTTGTCTGGATAGCACGCAAAACAATACTTTTCACTGTATCTCGGTGTATGTGATGATAATAAATCAATTTAAATGAATAAATCAAATCAAAAAAGCTCAATACCATCCAGAACAAAGCAGCCCGCTTGATTAGTACCCCATTCAACACCTTTAACATCTATTCCCTCCATGACTGACTCACAGCACCAGCAGTTTGTGTTATCTACAAGATGAACTGCAGCAACTCACCAAGAAGCCTTTGCCAAGACCTTAAAAAGACAAAAACCTCCAAACATCAAGAAGGACAGGGGCAACAGATGCTTGGGAACACTACCAGCTGTAAGTTTGCCTCCAAGCCTCACTATTCTGATCTAGAACTACATTTGTAATGTCCTCCTTCACAGAACTGTGGGTATGCTTACATCATATGGACTACAAAGGCTCAAGAAGGTGGCTTAACCTTGCCTTCTCAAGGGTCACTAGTGATGACCAGCAAATGCTGACCTGGCTGCAAATGCACACATCCCATGAAAGAATAACTTACTTAAAATTTTTCTGTAGTCTACTGATTACTTTAACACAGCTCTTCATTCCAATTGCATATTTATTTTGAGTTAACAGGCAAGTCCGTTCAACATTGTTAGTGGGGAGACTTCCAGAAGCAATAACTGGAACAAAATCAAGGGTCACTAGGTTAAATGTGTGTTAATTAAGGAAAGTTGGCATAAATTTGGCAAATCATTTTTAATTATTTTATGGGCAACATAGGACATACACTGGTCAGTTGATGGTTGACAGCACACAGTATCCTAGACTTTATTAACATGGAGCATTGCATACAAGAGAGGAGATCTAATTGTGTAGTTGTAGCATCCATATCGTTCAGTCAGAAGCTCTGGGTTTGAGCTTAACTTCAGGACTTGGAAGGTGTTTTCGTGATGTGGCCAGACTGTATCAAACTGTACATCTGTTTGACACGCCTGTGGCAAGAAATAAGGGTAGGAGAGCCTCTTGGTCAGCCAACTGTGATTACCCCATGAAAAGCTAGTAATGGAAATAGATATAAGCACATACTTTGTCTCATAAGCCGGTAGGTATGAGAAGAAAAGAGGAGCAAAAAAGTTATATTAAACTTGTATAACACACTGATTTAGTTCAAATGGAATATTACATTCTTTTTGCACACCTTAGAAAAGATGTAAAGACATTTGAGATGAAGTAGAAAAGATTCACAGGATTAGCCTCAGGAATAAGGAACTTCAGTTACATAGATAGATCGAAGATGTTGAGTTTGTTCTCCATAGAGAAGAAAAGGCTGACAGGAGATTTGATAGAAATATTCAAAACTTAAGGGATCAGGACATTTATAGAAAGCTATTAGAATTAAGGATGAGAGACTCAGATTTCAAACTGTTGACAAAAATAAACAGTGGAGACATGAGGTGAAACTTTTTCACCCTGAATGTGGATAAGGTCTGCAATCAGCTGCCTAAGAGTGTGTTGGAAACAAATGTTGTTGAAACATTCAAGAATAAAATTGGATTATTATATGAAAAGGAAGAATTTGCAGAGCTATGTGGAGAAGGTGAGGGTACAACTTGTTAAATTTCTTATTCAGAGAGCTGGAGCAGGCATGATGGGCTGAATGGCTTCCTGCTGTGCTGTAACATTTCTATGAGCCTGTGATTTTTGTAATGGAAATTATACATTTACGGTGATTGATACTGGGAAGAAATTACCAATCTTAAATTCACAAAGAATTTTAAATTGATATAAAATGTAGAAACAGAATCTGACCAATGAATAATGGTACACAGCAGCAGGCCATTTGGCCCATCATACCTGTGACACCTAATTGAAAGCTATCAAAATAAATCTAACCCCACATGCTTTCTTCATAGCCCTGTAAATTTTCCCGCTTCAAGTGGTTATCTAATATCATTTTGAAAGTCATTTAATTGGCTTTCACTGCCCTTTCAGACAGTACATTCTAGATCGTAACAACTCACTGCACTTTTTTTCACTTCATGTTACTTCTGGTTCTTTTGGCAATTATCTTAAACCTGTATCGTCTGTTGCCAATATTTATGCTACTGGAAACAGTTTCTCCCCATCAGCACCCTTCATGATTTTTAACATCTCAGCCAAATCTCACATTTATCTTCAGCGCTCTAAGGAAAACAACCTGTTTCTCCAGCTGCTCCAGTTAACCAAAGTCCTGGATCCCACTCTAATAAATCTCTCACTGCCTCTAAGGCTTTCACATCTGCTCCCTAATATGATTTATGAAGGTTTCACGTATTTTTAACTTAAACCGGCACTAAACTGTAGCCTTTAACTTCTTCCCCCTCATCACAAACATCCATTATTTGTGCATTATATGTAGATAGTATTTTTTTCAAAGAGAAGTCTTGCTGCTGTTGTGAAGAACATTGGCTAAGAGCCTCCAGATGAATAGCTGTTTAAGAGTTGTGAACAGTGTGATTATACTGTTGACAAAATAAGTGAAAATGATGTTAACCATGACATTAACATGTAATTTATCATAGGCTACCGCATAATATTATGGTTTCAGTGTATCTGTGAATTATAACATTTCAATTTAGTCATAGGAAATGTATTTGACAGTTTGGTAATTTGGTATCTGGCTCCATGTTTAATATCCAATGTCAGATGTTACTTGAACTCCATCTTGCTCATTTGGCAAGTTTTCATCACTAAGGTCAAGTTGTTACAGGAAAATAAAGGTCCCAGAAATGTCATTAAAAAGAGTTATTTTCTTCCAGCAGATACACATATTTCTAAAGTGATTGTTGAAATGCGGAACTCAGAATATGTTGCCTTCTGAAGTGTGGCCATGGTTCACAACAGTAGAAATGGTGGCACAATCAAAATAACACACCAAATTCATTTTCTTTGTAAAGACAAATTGACGCCATTTAAAATGCCACCACATGGTGCTTTATAGTAGTATTTGTATTCAAGGAAAAGTGGTTGTTTTTCAATTTATTATTTTATAAACCTTTGTAATATCAATTGCTATTCTCATTTTGTTTTGTGAATCTAGGCTATTTCATTATTATTAAATTCAAACTCATAATTTTAATTTTAGCAGTTAGGTACCAGTTTATAGAACCTTCACTGAAGCAAAAATATGTTAAAATAACACAGTGCGGTTCAAGTTAACTGGTGTTTAATACTCAGTTAATTGCTATTAAATATAATTGTCAAGCTGCCACTAAGTCATTTGAAACCCCCTTAATTAAAATGGTACATACTTGAAAAGACTGTTCATTTGGATTATTGAATTAAGCAGAGTAGGGCAAAATTAAGCATGATAAAATAGAAACATTGAGGTCAGTAAGAGCAATCACACATGGAGGTGATATTGTTTTGGTATAAGATTACTTTTAGTATAAAAGGCATTCATGATTGTCCTTTAGCATATATGATTGTCCAACTTTAGCTGAAGCTACAATGGCTGATGTTCTTTCATGTATAGTGGCCTGATACCAAACTCAATGTGTGGTCAACAGCAAAAGTGATCCATCCTATTCTTTTTTGAGGAAAGATACTAATATAAATTATATTTTAAGATGTGAAAAGTGAAATAATGTGCTGCGTTGATCTGAGTGTTGTGTCTACTTTCCTTTACCGTATTATAAACCCTCGTGCCTGTTAACTTCCTTTTGGTGGAAAATTAGTTGTAAACAAGTTTTCAGGTTTAACTGGGGCATGCTGTAAAATATAGTTGAATCAAAGGGGTTTGTAAAACACTACATGATTAAAACTGAACAAATATGTTGACTGAGGGTCAATGGTGTTACTTATAAATGTTTATGTTGACATTTTAAACTTCATGAATTAGTTTGTAAATTATTGCTGATTATTTTTTTAAGTGTTGGCTCCGAAATAATTTTGTAACTTTTCCATCACTCTTGCAGAAAAAGTTGAGAAGAAAATCTTAATCTGTAAAAGATTTAGGGAAACCTGGGGCTGTTCACATAAACAGCTTGTACTTAAGACACAACTTTTTTTTTCTCGAATGAATCATTTTCTACAAATATTAAATCAAACAAATTCTTTAAAAATTATAAATTTGGCAATATGTGCATTATTCAAAAAGACTCTAGAACAATTTATTTGGGACACATTGAGGCACTGCAATATTCTATATCCAACTGCAGCTGTCATTCTAACAGTTTTGGCACTGAAGCAGTGCACTGTTTATGATGTGAACTGTCTACAACAAAATTCCAAATTCTCTTTATAAATGAAAAATGACAACCTAGTTAGGGAAGTAATTATATCTGACATACAAAATGTATTTTGAAATGTTAGCTTCTTTTCCTTTGGAAAAATAATGCATTAGATCATCAACTTAAATAAAAGTGTTTAACCACTCCTTGGTTTTCTCTCAGGCTGGCTGTCTTGGATTGGGAATGGAATTGTCATCTCCATCATGTACAAACGAAGACTGGCCCTCGAACCCCAAGATTATCTTACATTCAATCTTGCTATATCAGATGCCAGCATTTCAATTTTTGGGTACTCACGGGGCATAATTGAAATATTCAATATTTTCCAAGATGATCAATTTCTCATCACGTCTATCTGGACTTGTGAAGTGAGTTAATAATTAAAATTCTTAGAGTTAAATTTAAAATGTGCTGTGAACTGTATTTCTTTTTACCCTCATTGCAATTATGTATAGTGTTCATACAATTGCAAGAAATCAAATATGTTGACCCAGGTTTTGAGGTCAGTGTTGTTGATCTTGAAAAAGCATCCTGCAAAGACTTAGCAGACTCTAGAATGTGGAATCTCCTCTATTTTGGCATGGCTTTGAATCTGGCACTTTCTAATGGAGATCTGTGGAGTTCCGAAGATATGAAGTCATTAAGCAAGTGAAGAGGCATTCAGGTTAAGGAATTCCCAAACTAAGAAGTATGAGGCACAGATTAGAACTGAAGTGTAATTACTTGACAGAAAGCAAACTAAAGTCTGGAACATATATATGAGACTAATAAAGACTTACTAGTTTAGAAATATGTATGCTCCCCAAAGGAAATAAAACTTAACACATATAAAATTAGATTTTCAGAACCAGGGAAGCGATTTGGTGAAGATTATGAATTAGTACACAGTTAAGACACAGTTACACCTGATTTAACAAAGCTTAACATTTTCATTGGTCATGACAGTGAGAACAGTGTATAAAAAATTGAAATAAAGACTTTGTATGCACTTTTTCAGGGAAAAAGTGTTGATAATCAACACATTTGCTTCCAAAAATGAAAATGGTGTGCATGAATTGAGAATTTAAAGTCTGTTCTAATTGGCAGCTAGAAATAACAATTCAAAGTTGATTAGAAATATTCTTGATATAGCAGGAAGACATTGCTTTGACAAGAGCTAAAATCTGAGCAACTTTTAGATTTTGTGAGAGAAGTTACAATCCTTTTGCTGATAGTGTGCATGTCAGTTTGTTTAGAAACATTATTGGCCTATATAACAATTCCATAAGTAACATGTTGGTTTGGAAAGTGGAGCATTAACAGTGGCGATGGAGCTGGGTGTTTACAGCTCTACTTTGGAATGCAATAAAAAAGTACATGTCTTTTACAGCAAGCTTGTTTTTGCATCAGTACAATTCTACAGGAATTGTTTGGTTTGTTAAATATGGCCTGTAGTCATATTGAAAAAGTATCAATGTAACTTTGCAAGGCAATTTTAAACCATTTGTGCTGGCATAGATCTTCCATCATGGAAAGCAACCTTGAATGAAGTATTTATTAGTGAAACTGAGTTAGAGTTTTGGCATTTGTCAAACTGCTAGTCTGGGATTTAGTGGTTGCAAAGTTTCCTGGAAGTGTTTAACTTGTGTGTTGTGGACTGACAAGTTTCTGTGTCTTTTAGGTGGATGGGATTTTGACTCTGCTGTTTGGTTTGAGCAGTATTAACACTTTGACAGCCATCAGCATCATCAGATACATCAAAGGTTGCAAACCGCATCAAGGTAAAACCTTCACCGCCTCCACTAAAGAGCTTTCCTTAGTCTAATATTAACAGTTAAATGCCCATTGTAGCGTCTAGAATCCTCAAAACAGCGTGATATGTATGACAGCTACTACCTACAACCTTTACCTCGCAAAGTAATGTGAATTCTAATTGGTAGTATTATAAATATCATAGCATATTGAAACAAAGTATTTCAAAGAAATCTTCTAAGAGGAACAAGAACATTTGGTGACATTTTAAATTCAGTGAATTCAAAGTAGTAATATTACATAACAATATAATTGTTGCTCCAGGATATTGAAGTGCTTGTCAAAGTATTGCTATTGCAGATGCAGACATCTGATAGGAAATTGTTTTCTGGTCTCTCTTCAGCTTACAGGGTTAACAAATCTAATATTATACTGGTCTTGTCTATCGTGTGGCTGGCAGCTCTTTTCTGGTCTGCAATGCCTCTTCTAGGATGGGGCAGTTACACAGGTGAGAAAAGTGGTACAGTGTTATGCCATGTTAAGATAACATGATGCTTGTTCACAGTGTAGATATGTGCATGTATATGGTCTAAGGAACAACATCTTATATTCCACTTCAGGAGCTTACAGCCCAAAGGCCTCAACATAGAATTCATCGCTTCAAAATCTCCCCACCTCCGACTTCCTCCCATGTTCAGCCCTCCCTCTTATCCCCACCTTCTTGACTCGACACAACCTGTCCATCTTCCTTCTCACCCATCTGCCCCACCCTTCCCACTGACTTAACTCTACAACCCTCTAGCTGCATCTACCTATCACCATCCCACCTACCTTTCCTCCTCCCCAACCCCATCCTTCTATTTATTTCTGAGCTCCCTTCCCCCTCCCCAGTCCTGATGAAGGGTCCAGACTCAAAACATCGACTTTTCTGCTCATCGAATGCTTTCTGATCTGCTGTGTTCCTCCAGCTCCGCATTTTACCGACTCTGACTTCCAGCATCTGCAGTCCTTTCTATCTGCCTCCCATTCTCCTAAATTTTAATGGGTAAAGGCTCATTCTGTTCAATCTTTCTTCATATGATAAGTCATTCATCTCAGCTATCAGTCAGACACATCTTCTCTCCAGTGCTTCTAAAGCAAATATATCCTTTCTCAAATAAGGAGACCAAACTGTAGATGTGGTCTCACCAATGTCTTGTATAACTGCAGGAAAACTTTCCTACTTTTGTTTCATTCACCTTACAATAGACACTGACATTCTATTTGCTTTCCTGATCACTCACTGAACCTAGACGCTAGCTTCTTTTGATTCATGTGCCAGAACACCCAGATTCACCTCTGACAACATTCCCTCTAAACGCAGCCTCTTTAAGGTGTTGTGTATGACGATTGGTGTCAGAATTCAGGCCTGGGAGGACTGTGCAGCTTCTTTGGAACATTAAATTCTACAATATTTCATTTCATGTTTTCACTTCAATTTTTCATTTAAATAGAATACTGTTTTTGTGTTCTCCCTGCCAAAGTGGACAATATCACACTTTCTAACATTATAGACCCCTGCCAAATTTTTGCCCACTCATTTTGTAGCTGCCATGCATTCAATCCCTTCATCTAAGTTATTGATGTATATTATGGATATTTGAGGGCCACTACTGACCCACGTGACTCCACTCCACTCCACTCAATGGCGATTACATTTACAACCAGCAGGACTATGATCACATGAAGGGTGAGGACTTTTCTTCATTCATTCATGGGATGAGGGCATTGCTGGCTAAGCCAACATTTACTGCCCATCCCTAATTGCCCAGAGCACACTTAAGAGACAATTACATTGCTGTAGGTCTGGATACAATAACACAGAAAATTTGAAATAAATTTTAGAATTGAAAATGTACATCAGATGAATGATATATTTGTGGAAGTGTTTTTTTGAGATGGCAGTGTAAAACATTGCTTCAGTTACCTGTTATACTATCCACACATATTCAGTTCTATTCACTTCAATGGAACCAAATATCCAGTTGATGGTATAACAGTCAGCTGGAAGGATACATGTTTCCTGCTCTTTTACCAAAGACAAGCTTCCACTAAATGATTAAAATACTAAATGATTTTTAAAAAAATAATTGCAAACACAAGTTAGGAAGAGGATAGAACTGAAATGCTACAGTTAAATTTTATAAAGATATACCTTTCATCTATTGAGATAGATTATATAAAGTATTTCAGAAAATAATATAAATGACAAAGTTAAATAGTCTTCTTTTACTTCCTGCACTTAAATTTGAACCTAAACCAATGAGGGTAAAATGCTTCGCTCTTATTTTCTCTGCTATAAAGATTGAATTCAATGAAGTCAGCCTGATTATGATTCCTACTGTATGTGTCAACTCTATCAACTTTCTGACAATTCAGCAATAATTAAGAGATTTGCTCTGAGGGAGCTGTAAGGAAGTCCACTCTCCAGCATTGCATGGTGACTTGACCAATAGTATTCTTTACCCAGAGAGTGATTAGAATGTAGTTCTCACACCCCCAGGCCATAATTGAAGTGAATAGCATGGATAAATTCAAGTTGAAACTTGATAACATGTAAGAGTGAAGTATATAGAAACAGATGCTGTGTTATTGAAAAATACGCCTGTGGATCTTGAACCTGATCCTTTGGGCTAAAGGGGTTATTTCTGCACTGTAAATATTGTGTAATGTCACAGTATGGAGTGGTTTGCTGATACCTCTGACACACCCCACTGAATTCTGCTCCATCCCAGTATTTAACTCATTTTGCAGCTAACAAAAATACATTTTGGGAGCTATTTTTACTGCCAGAGGAGCAAACTGATCCCAGAAGATTCTGAAAAGGAATATATTAAATATAATTAACAGCACAAACTTTAATTGATCAAATTACTTTTAAAGAGCATTGTCGATCAATTATGAGAAAGATTGGTTTTTGTTCTTGTTGTTCATTTTACTTACTCTTCTGTGAAGTGTTTTGGAACACGTTCCATACCAATAGCACTACATCAAATGCAAGTTGTTACAATGACCCCATGTTCTGCAAATTTGTTATTGTGCTTCTGTAAGATACGACCACTCAAATAATGGGCTATGGAAGATGAGTTATCGCTGCATCTATGCGTTTTTACAGTTCTACGCTGTGCCACAGAAAATGACACTCAAATAGGACTATGCTATAGTCAATCTGCTTTATCCCCAGGATATATTTAAACCATTATATAATCTGGAATTGACTTGGAGTAATTTGATGCAGTAAAGAAATAAGTGTTTCTGTTCCCAGTACTGGTATTCTTTGCCAAAAGATTTTAATAAAATCTCTCAAAAAGACAGGCAAAAATATCAGCCCACAAAGAACAGAAGAATGGAGCAAAGTAATTTCATGTAAGAACATTAGCAATAAGAGTCAGACCATGTCATTTAGTCCTTCAGTCCTGCCCCACTATTCAGCATGATGTTAACCAATCTTCCACCTCAATTCCACCTTTGCCCACTGTCCTCATGTCCCTTGATTCTGAATTTCAACAAAGCTAACAATCTCTGTCATGAATATACTCCCTGACCTTACAACTCTCACGTGGCCCATAGTACTATCATTACCCAAAATCTGACTGTCCAACAATTAAAACGATCTGAAGGCCAGATATTTTACTGTCAGGAGTTCAGAGTGCCAGAAGTATGATTCAACCATTTGTTTAGCTATCCATCCACACGTTCGTTCCCACCCTGTACATACTGCTATGTATAACCCTCCAGAAAACCAATGGTTTCAACAGGCTCCCGCGACCATTAGAATTTTGTATAATTGGAGCAAAAATATAGGTTTACACATGGACCCTAAAGTTTTACAACTTTGATGTAATAAGTTCAAATATGTTAGTATTTATATTATTATAAGGGTGTGGTGCTCTAGGTTAGAAACTCTGACCTGAGTGCATTGTGCTGTTTTAAGATCTACCTGCCTCTACTTGTCTTTTCCACCTGCAAGATAATCCAAACTCCAGGAAAATCCAAAATCCAGTTAGGTCTCGGTCCTGAGGCTGCCAGATTTTGGATGTGAATAATTAAGTAACTTGTTGTGAATTAAAGTTATATTTTGATACTAACTTTAAGGGTGGTGAGAAACAAATTTTGTATTGCTTAATTACGACAGAAAGGGATCCCGTACTTCAATTCTTATTGTAAAATTAAATTATTAAAAAGGAAAAGAAATATTAATGTCACTAGACGAGGAATCCTGAGACTCAGGTTAATGAGTTGGAGACATGAATTACAGTCCCACCATGGTTGCTGGTGAAATTTAAGCTCAGTTAATAAAATAAATCTGGAATTGAAAGGCAGCCTTGGTAATAGTGACAATGAAAATAGTTTCAATTGTTAAAAATTCATGTCCCAAAGGGAAGGAAACCTGCTACCCCTACCTGGTCTGATCTATGTGAGACTCTAGATGCACAGAAATGATATTGACTCTTAACAGTTTGCCTTGCCAACCATACCCTCCAACTATCAAAGATTGATAAAAGAAAATTCATGTATGTAAAATGCATATGAAGAAATGCTATATTTTTAAACCATTATTTTATTTTGTCCTATTTTGTTATTTTCTTCTATTTTCTGTTTTGTTTCTTTACATTTCATTTATTTCCTTCATGAACAAAATTCCATAACCACTGGTTCCCAGAGGAAGGTACACTGACAGAGAGTCAACTTGGAGAATTAGGTTTACGCTGTTATTCCTTAGACCTTCACTACCTTTTAGGTACAACTTCTCATTTGGAGTGCCAGTCCAGCATAATCATCATATTCTCAATTTCAATTACTATTCTTTCCTTGTGAGCTTGGCTTTTTGACTTCTGAGATTATCCTCTGCTACAAACTGGCATTGTGCACCAAACTCATTGTCAACTCCAAAGTTTTATCTGATTCTGCGTTAATGACAACAGCAAGCCTGTGAGAAGGCGGCAGTAGGGGATAATTGGATGATGTTACCTGAATAACACTGCTGCATTGCCTGGTTTATTCAGCTGGACAAATAGGAACAGTTGGCATTTAGAGAAAATGGAAAGGAAAAATAAGCCCATGCTCACAGGATGAAGTGTTGATAATGCAATTACTGCTGTATAACTCACATTCTAAAGCCACTGTGGTCAGACATAACTATTTTGTTGTCAGCCCTAAAGTGCCTTAAACTTGAGACAAGCGTTTCACTTCTCATTTCTGCTTTCAGTTCACTGTAGCTTCCAAAACAAACCATTTAAAATCTCCCACTTGTCCATCGACTGAAGCCAGCTTCTATTTTACTTTGGCACACTGATCACAAATCTGCAATGATTAAAAGCCAGATTAATGTAGTAAAAACACAAAATAAAGACTTGCAGTTACCTACCACAACCTCCTGAAGTACTTCTAAAGTGTAGTCACTCTTTCAATTTAGAAAAGATTAATGTTTGTAATTTGTTTGCAATTTTTATAATACTTCCACCATCAAAAAATTGCTGTTTCCCCAGTACATTTAATTAAAGTTGTAAGAGCCAATTCAATAGTTTTATTCTTCATCAGGAAACAAGTGATTAGAAATTGTAGGCATGCAGCTTGAGATGTTCTATACAAAAAGTGAGAAATTTGAGGGCTTGCATATATAGCATTTCCTGAAATATGTTACCCCTAAACTCTCTGCTGTCAGTTCCAGATTAAACCTTATTAATAATATTAATGACAGCATTTTAGAACCATCAAACCACTAAAAAGTAACAGTACAGAATGAGGCTATTCACGCGTTGTCTCTGCACCACTGAATAAACTGGCCACCTATTCTAATCTCATTTTCCAGCACTTGGTCCATAACCTTACAGATTGCAACACTTGATGCACAAATCGACATTCCTTCTAAATGAGTTGAAAATTTCTGCGTATACCACCGAAGTAGGCAGCAAGTCCAGATAGCCACAACACTCTGGTGAAAATGTTTTTCCTCATACCACTTCTAATTCTTCTACAAATTAACTTATATCTATACCCCCTAATAATTGATCTCTCTGTTAAGGGAAATGGGTCCACCCTGTCCACTCAATTCAAGCCCCTCATTATTTGTACTACTCAATTAAGTCACTCCTCTGCCCCTTCTGTTCTTAGGAAAGCAAACTTATCCAGTCTTTCCTCATAACTGCAGTTTTCAAGTCCTAGGTGCATTCTTGTAAATTTCCATACTGTCTGTAGAGAAATTATGTCTTTCCTGTCATGTGTGACCAAACCGAGATAAAAATCCAACTGTGGCCAAACTAGTATCATATAGATTCAGCATTACATCACTGCTATTGTATTCAATACCTTGCCCAACGAAGGAAGCACCTCTTGTGACTTCTTTACCATCTCATCAATCTGTTCTGCCACTTTCAAGGGTCTGTATACATGTACTCCAAGGTCTTTCACTTCCTCTACCCCTCTCAATACCTTCTTGTATAGCATTCCTTTGCTTTATGTAATCTCCTCAAGTACATAACTTCACACTTCACAGGATTGAATTCAAATTGCTTCTTTTCTGCCCACAAATCAAACCAATGATAGCAACTTTCATCAACAACCATTTTCTTTTCTATCAGCTATCTGGCCAATTTTTGAGTCATGTGCAAATTTCCCAAACATGCCCCCACATGTAAGTCCAAATTACTAATATGTACCATCAACAGCAAGAAACCTAACACTGAGCCCTGAGGAACACCACTGCAAATGCTTTCCATTTGCAAAAGCATCTGTCAACCATCACCATTTGTTTCTTGCCACTGAACTCACTACATTCCTCTGTATTTCATGGGCTTTAATTTTTCTTTCCAGTCTGCCTTGTGGCAGCTTGTCACATGCCTTACTAAAACCCATATAGACAACATCCACTGCACTGCCCTCATCAATCCTCCTTGTTACTTCCTCAGAAATTAAGTTCACTTAGTAAGACATGACATTTCTTAACAAAATTATTCCTGTCCAAGTAACAGATAAGATTGTGCAGTACCTCTCATTATCATTTAGTATTGATCATAGCATTTTGACCATCACTGATGTCCATTTGACCAGTCCATAATTTTTTGGTGTCTACTTTGCTTCTATTTTAAATAATGATACAACATTGGCTGTTCTCAACCCCTCTGGTAGCTTGCCTGTATTTAGTGAGAGCAGCTTAACATCTTTCACAGTCCAAGTTGGAAACCAATAAGAATGTCACAAGTAAATCTATGAATTTGGTGAGTTAATTAATAGCTTGTGATAGAGACAAAATTTGACAACTACATGAGATATCAAGCTGCATTTTCAAATAACTGTTGCTGATTTTACCTTAGCTTTTTCTTAAATTAACTATGTTTCACTATTTATAATTATTACATATTGCCATATATGTTTAAAAAAAGACCTTCAGTTGGCAACTGCCTAGATTCTAATGTGTTGAAGTCATTGGGTGACAGTCCAAAAGCTGTGTATATGGTAATACTTCACCCAGAGGTAGCACTGCAGCCATCACAATATTTTGTCAGCTTCTGCTTGTATATTCAAGTCTAATAAGTTTGACGTCTGGGACTGTTTGGACCATGGTGCAGAGTTGTAATCCAATCCCTAATCTAAAATCATAAATTCTATGATTACATTTAAGTAACATTTCGATGCTATTGTTATTTATTGCTAAATAGGAACGTTACTCCTTGTTAAGGAAACAGAGCAGTAGAAGAGTTTTTTCAGAATGACAGATTAAAGCACTGGAAGATGCAAAACTGAGCTTTTGCATTTTTACCTCCAGAGCAAGGCTGTAAAAACTGCTTGAGTTTAAAGTTTCTATTGCAGATTGGTGTTTTGGATTTTGGAATGAAAAAGGTTGGGGCAAAAATCTAAAAAGTATGCAAAAGCATGAAGTAATTTTTGTGCTGGAAATGCATAGTCGATACAAGATTTTAAAGCACTGTATATGTTTTGCTTACGAGAAATCAAAACATCAAATACCTCTTTGTCCTATTTTGTCACCATAATGTCGGCACCTCTTTGCATGTATATGGAACCCATTTTCTGCACCTTTCAATCTACTCTTCTGATAGTCTTTCTTTGTGTCTGCTTCTGCAGATTTATATTCTTTTGGTTGTGAGATGTTGGATAGTTTGACTCAGAATGAAGCTATCTGTTCAAGGGATTAAGTCACATTTCCTGGTGCTCCTGAAAGCAGTCTAAAGAGGGCAAAATCTGAAGTTTTAAAATTTGGAATAAAAGTCTAATGATGACCACAAAACCGTCATTCTTCGTCATAAAAAAAAATTTTGTTCACTAATACTCTTCAGGGAAAGCAATCTGCCACACTTATATGATCTGGCATACGTTTAGGGGGTAGTGATGGCATAGTGGTATTATCGCTGGACTATTAATCTGGAGACCCAGGTAGTGTCCTGTAGTGTGGCTTCAAATGTGACTCCAGATCAACAGTAAAGTGGTTGACTCTTAACTGCCCTCTGGGCAATTGGGGATGGGCAATAAATGCTGGACTAGTTAGTGTTGCGCACATCCTGTGAATGAATTTTTAAAAAGTGACTCCAGACCCAAAGCAATGTGGTTGACTCTTAACTGGCCCTTGAAATGGCCAAAACAGCCAATTGGTTCATTAGCAACAAATGCTGGCCTGGCCAGCAGCACTGACATCCTATTTAAGAATAAATCTTATAATCTCCTTTCATTTCATTGTTTGCACCTCCCTTGTTAATATTTCACCCAAAAGATCACTGTGCTTTAACTCATTAAACCCCTTCCAATATCCCCTTGACCACCTCATTCTGTCTAGTGGAGTGAGAGTGAAGGCCTTTCTTACTGTACATAGCAGAGGGAAATAATCTATTTTACAACTATTATCATGGCTGTTTTAATGATTAAAATACCTCTGAAATATGAGTTGGTCCACTCATTTTCCTTAATAGATATATAGAGAGGCATGAAATGGTTTCAGCATAGAAAGAATCCCTTCAGCCCATTGTGCCCATGTCAGCTATTGTAGAAAGAAAATCTTATACACATCTTAAAATTAATTGAAAAGTACAGGTCACCCAAAATTCTGTGATGTTCAAGAGTAATTTACATAAGAACAGAAGAACATAAGAACTAGGAGCAGGAGTAGGCCGTCTGGCCCTTCGAGCCTGCTCCGCCATTCAATAAGATCGTGGCTGATCTTTTCGTGGACTCAGATCCACTTACCCGCGTTCTCACCGTAACCCTTAATTCCTTTATTGTTCAAAAAAAATCTACCTTTTCTTTAAAAACGTTTACTGAAGTAGCGTCAACTACTTCACTGAGCAAGGAATTCCATAGATTAACAACCCTCTGGGTGAAGAAATTCCTTCTCAATTCAGTCCTAAATCTGCTCCCTCTAATCTTGAGGCTATGCCCTCTTGTCCTAGCTTCACCTGCCAGTGGAAACATCCTCTCTACTTCTATCTTATCTATTCCCTTCATAATTTTATATGTTTCTATAAGATCCCCCCTCAATCTTCTGAATTCCAATGAATATAATCCCAAACTACTCAGTCTCTCCTCATAAGCCAATCCCCTCAACTCCGGAATCAATCTAGTGAACCTCTTTTGTACCCCCTCCAGTGCCAATACATCCTTTCTCAAGTAAATTTCTTGCATAAAGTATTTTTTCAGTGTCTGAATTTGATATAAATTATTTGTGAATGAGAAAAAAAACTCTCAATATTCTGGATTAATAATTTGCAAACTATTATTAATGTTTATTTGAACTGTTACAGATCGCTTGTATGGCACGTGTGAGATCGATTGGATGCAGGCAACTGTTTCTATTGCCTACAAATCTTATGTTATTGGCATATTTCTCTGCTGTTTCTTCTTCCCTGTTTCAGTCATGATTTTCTCATATGTGTCCATAATAAAAATGATTAGATCCAGTCACAAATGTGTCAGGAAAGGAGAGATCAGTGAACACCAACGTCATATTGAACAAGAAGTGACACGGGTAAGAACTATCATGAAGACAAATTAATAGAGAATTATGTGTAAATGGGATAAGAGGTAAACAGGGTAAGCAGCAAAGAGATTGATAATGAAGGTTTAACATTAAAATGACTTGGATAAGAAAAGCATGCAAGAAGATTAGAACTTCCATGCAAGAACATAAGATACAGGAGCAGCAATAGGCCATTGGGCCCCTCAGGCCTGCTCTGTCTTTTGATAATATGATGGCTGATCTGACTGTGGTCTTAAGCTCACTTTCCTACCTGCCGCTCATAACCTTTGACTTTTTTGCAGTTCAAAAAGTTGTCTAAAACAGCTTTAATATATTCAATGTGGTAGAGAATTCCAAAGATTAACAAACCTGTGAGAGATGAAATTCTTCCTCAGCACTCTCATAAGTGACACCTTTTTTTAAAATTATGACTCCCAGTTCTAGAGTTCTCCCTTGAAGGAAAACATCCACTCAGTACTTGCACGTTAAATCCCTCAGGAATTAACCTAGTTAAATTTCCCGTGGACAGCTACCAATGCAAATACAACTATGAGGTGAAAGTGGAACACGGTCATTTATATAACAAATAATATTTGGAATTCCAAAAAAGTTAATTTCTAGTGACATTGAAAGTAATAAAAACAAAATGAATCCTCAAACGAGAGTAATTACGGAAAGAGCTACGAAGAGATTAAACTAACAGGTATTCATTTGGGTTAGAAATTTTGGCTAATTTTATTTGTTTTCCCAACCCGAAGGGATTAAGGCCAACTATAAATACGTTGATTGCCATCTTAAAATCAGCATTACTTCTGGTTCAAACCTGCATTACCCAATTACTCGGTGAATTTGAAGATATTTTTATTCAAATCAACGGTTCACATATATTCTGCTACCCCTATAAAGTGAAGTGATGTACTTTGGAAGGAAGAACAGATTGTTCCATGAGGTTTGGCGAGGGGTGGGTGTGGTGTGTGTGCGCACATCGTGTATATACTCTGTTGTGTTTTATAAAGAGAGACAGCACAGAAATTTTCGTGAACCTTTATAAAACACTATGCTTGTCTTCACCTGGACTATTATGTCAAATTATGGACACCGCATCCTAGTTGATAGGAAGAGCATTCATAATACATAGGAGTGACAGGGAACTTTACTCTCAAAAGCCCTAAAATGCTCAGGAAAGCTCAGCCTAGGCGCCCAATCAGTACAAGGTGGGATAGACCAAATCTATGAGGAACTACTCTTCCAATCACACATTCTGTCTCTCACATGCTCTTCCAATCACAGGCTGTTTCTCTTCCACATTGCAGCAAATGTGGGAGAGAACATGCAACTTCATGCAAAGGAAATGTTTCACATTGAATATCTTTCAGATTAGAACAGCCTCTACCAATTAATTCACTTAGGAGCCAGATAACTGGAAAGAATAACTTAATGTTTATATCACCAATATTATCAATTTTATTTATCAGTCAAATATTAAATACAACAAACCTAATTGCCACTTATACAGTAAATCACTGCTCAAATTTGATAATGTTAATCCAAATGAATTAAGTGATGTACGCAACAGCATCAAGATTTACAAACTGAAATAGCAACACAAACCTTTGTTTTGCCCTCTATTAGAGCAGCTGGTGTGCTTTATTTTACAGGTGTCTTTTGTCATCTGTACAGCCTTTATTATGGCTTGGTCCCCCTATGCAGTCATTTCCATGTGGTCAGCATGTGGATACAGTGCACCAGCCATCACCAGTGTCCTCACCTGTGTCATCGCTAAATCTGCCAGCTTCTACAACCCCATCATTTACTTTGGCATGAGCCCCAAGTTCCGCAAGGAGGTGCAGGCTCTCTTCCACTGCCTGAAAGAAAAGAGTGATGCAGGCTTTGTGACACCTGTGAAACAGACCAATGTGAGCAGGAAACCAGAGCTTATAAATCAGGCTGACAAGTACCAGGTATCTATTCCTATAGCTAAGATCCCAGACTGGAGTGCAGACTTGGACAACACTACACCCATCACCACTGTGTCCTGTCACTTAGAAGAGAAACAGGTGCCAGGACGGGAAGGTGAATCAGAACATCTTTAATTCTGGTTAACTGCAGTTTCAGTGCCAGCCTGATTTTATAAACAGTTGTACAATCATATACTTATATGGTGATTTATGGTTTCTTAAAACATTTTTGTTTAATACGGACATTGGTTTTCAATTCTATGTGTATGTAATAACTTCATTTTGGATAATATGACTAATTATCGGTGTTAGTTGAAATCAGTTCCTTTGATCATCAGAAACTTTAATATTGCAAAAGTGGCATGGCAGTCAAAACCCTTCATTTTTAAGAGAAAGCAAAAAGACTGTTAACTTTTGAATTTTGTTTGTCACTTAATCACAGATTTTCAGAAAGTGGTATATTGTGAAAAATACTGTAGACTATTGCTTATTTTTCTGAGTTTTAATAAGGCTTTTGTAAAGCAAATTGCCACTCAATAGCATATTTGATGTTGTATTTGTCAAGTTTATTATGCCTTGTTCTGAGGAAGGGCCACTGGACCCGAAACACTAACTCTGTTTTCTCCTCCACAGATGCTGCCAGACCTGCTGAGCTTTTCCAGCAACTTTGTTTTTATTATGCCTTGATTTTATTAATGAAAAGCCTTTTTTGCAAAGGTCATGTTAATATGATTTCAATTGGATTATAGTACCATTCTTTGAAAATGTATACTCAGACTGTTTTATGAAAATAAAATAATGTTAAATACAATATTTATTAGTATTTTCATATGTAAAGTGTTTATGTAAGCATACATCCTACTTGTATTTATTCATTACTGTGGAGGACTGGAGTGGAAACAATATTTGGTATTTAAGAAATATTCTGTTGAAGAAAAATAAACATATTATGGTAAATTAATGTTTCAATAAAATATAGGAAAGCCACAAATTCTACCAAAACAATCTCAATATTTCTTCTTCCAAAAGCATCCCCTGAAAACTTAAGAGGAATGCTTCTTATTCAGGCAGGAGCCTTGATATATAGAAACAGATGTTAAAATGGCAACCTCCATCTTTCATTCCATTTTGGTTTACAAGGCAAAGTAGAAACATTTTGTTTAGGGTGTTGGCAGGGATGCACTGTAGAAGGGATTCTCTTGAGCAAACAGGTATTTGTGACATTGTTTAGACCAGTTAGATCAAATATTTATCTATTTCTACATAGCTTTTCATGTATCTCAATGCACAAGAGTGGTTTTAAACGTAGAGCTCTCCCTGCTCATAGCTCTGATCTGATATGATTGTATTGTTGCAATAAAGTATTGTTGATAAACTTCAGATGATGATACAACATCCTTTCATTAATTCTTACAATTGGTTTATTTTGAATAATTTTATTTCTATGATGTACGGCAAGGATATTGTTCTAATTATTAAACATGTGTAAGTGCAGGTTGCTAGGTTAATCCTAACTGGCCAATACACTAACTGAATATTATTGGACTGAGTGAAAATATTAATATTATGGGAGTGATTTGCTTGCCATGACAACTTCGTTTGTTAACTTGTTAAAATTCTAAACTAAAGCTGTTATCATTTCTCATCAAGAGCTTGGAATTTGATACATCTGTCTGTGCTTTCACATACAGGGTCAGGTTCTTGGTCCAGCTTACTAAGGAATTTACCCTGTTTAGACATGTTCTGTCTATGAGTTTAATTTGGGTGATTTTCATTTTGGATAATTTTTCAGTCCTTGTGATTTCAGTTTGGGTGATTTTTCGCTTCAGGCGATTTTTCAGATTGGGTGGTTTTCAGTCTGGTAATTTCAGACCAGGGGCAATTTCCAGTTCTTCTGACTTCAAATCAGGTAAATTGTCTGTTCAGATGATTTTCTGTTCAGTTTGGGTGATTATCAGTTTGGCTGATTTTATTTCGGGTTTTTGTTTTACAGTGGTGATAACTGCTCAGTCATTTCCCCACATCCCGCATCTTTTTCTCGGGTTCTGTCTGGTTTTCGAAGGATTGCTGGTTATATGTTAGCGCAGATTTCCCACCATCCTCAGACACCAATTTACATAGTATGGCAACTCGTTTTGTCCCCTTCACATTTGTAAAACCTAATTGTCGTCAGTGAGAGGGTTGATGAAAAACCCTGCCATTCGCAAAAAGTGCACAACTGGAACGCCTTGGCGTGACGCAACCGGGCGTATTTAGGTGAATTGGGGAAGTTTGGGTTAAGCTTGAGTTTTGAGCAGGACACCGAATCGGAGAGCTCAGAAATCCCCGAGTTCAGGGTGAAGGTCAGTCTGTGGCAGCTGCGGACTGAGAGTGGAAACTGTCTGTACAGAGGTATTTACTTTAGAGTGCTGCTTTAAGCTAGTTCTGACTTACTACTAACGAAAAGTCCTGGTTTGTTCTGTTATTCCGCGTGAACTGTGAACAAAGGGCAGAGTGGGGGAATTGGGATTCATAACATAGATCCAACAGCAGATTGTAACAAAAATCTGCAACAGCTGCCGTGAATGATAATGAAATTACAGGCATAAACAAGCAACACTGCGACAGGGATTAAAGTCTTTGCTGTGAAATGCAGACCTTTCCTACCGCTTTCGTTTATGTGTTGTCCAAAATGCCTAGAGTGGTACCCGAGCTTTTATTTTCTTCTCTGGTAGTATCTGATAAACCGAGAGTTAAAAAAAAAGAAATGCAAGGTCCCATTCTGAGTGTTAACCTGTAAGAAATTTCATCCATTCACTTGCGATTTTGATAACTCCTGCTGCCATGGTAAAATATTCTTGTTGAAGGTACATTTTGCTCAGATTATCCTTGTTTCGGGGGCGTTTGGCTGTCAGTGATGTGTGGTTTGTATTTGACTGTAGCTCTAGGACTGGGAGACTGTGGACGCTGTTTACAATGTCTGTCTTCTGCACGGCGATCCTTTCTCTCGGTAAGTACCTTTATCTCAGTCAATCACTCGGCAAACTGTGTGTGATGACAAATTCGATCAGCCTCGGGACTAGCGGTTCAAACCCCGTTCATTGAAGGGCAGGCTCTGAACTCCCCTCAGTCATGCCTGCAGACACCGGGAGACATGCGACAGATTTAGGTCGCACTGGGTGTTTTTGAGGTCCCGGGGTTCAGATATCATCACAGCACAACCCTGTCCAGGAGGGAGGGAGTCACCGAGCTATCTCAGCCCGCTTCACCTGCTGTGCGTCGGCTACGTGTCAAATGTGACAGATGAAGAGACGAGGAGCGTCTCGGAGCTAGGAAAACCTGCAACTGCAAATATCTCCAGGGCAGCAATACACCTAAAAGTAGAATTGACAGGGTTCTCACAAAATGCAGTAGTGTTCTAAGGTTTGGTGCAGTTTAAATCTAGAGTTATTTCATTCAAGTTACTTCATCTACTGTTGTTAGCATTATATCCCCAATTTGCTCACACATTAAAAACTGTTTAGTTCAGACTTGTTTTACTGGAAAATGAGCATATGTTTGATGTCATACCTTACGCAAGTTATCCTTTCTAATTCCTCTAACAGCTGTAACTAATTCTTGTATTTCTCTTTGAAAGTAATGCTCTGGAATTACAAGATATTGTTCATTTTGATGTGTGCAGGGGTCTTAACATTCACTTCATCAGCAAAGGGGGCCCAGGGATCAGGTACGCTTTGTACAATGTAATGACTCCTCTGCATGCTTTCTTTGCTTTATCAACATATTTCATGTAAAAGATTTCTAAAGCACTTTACAAGCTATCAATGTATTTTTTAATTGGGGCACAATACTGTGCTCTTACAGAGACCTCACACACCAAATGTACACTTTCCTGAGTAACCTTATGTAATATAAAAGTATATTTATTAAGTATTCCTATTCACTGTGACAGGGACAATTGATGCCATCTTGTAAAATAGTTATCATTTCGTGTCAATATGTTAAGATTTGAATTTTAAATTGCTAAGGAGATATCTTTATCAGGCATGTCCCTTTGATATTTATTGCAAATTATGTTACTGTGTTTTATTATTCAAGTGCCCATTTCAATTGCCTGTACCACCAGAGGTGCTTATTATAAGGAGAATCGGGTGGATTTGCTATGCCCACCACATTGCGATTACTCCCAGCTATCTGTCTGGGGATCTGGAGTTTATGCCTCAGTCTCCAGTATCTGTGCAGCTGCAGTTCACAGGTGAGATCCTTAATAGTAACATTCTCTTAAAGAAACATAGAAGAGATCCCAAAGCTAATAAAATAATTAATGAATTAAACCTAAATGAGCAATGCATTTTCACAAGCAGTGTGTCAGGTAGGTAGCCATATTTTAGTATTTTAGTAGGCTGTAATACACATGCAATTTTGAGGAGACACAGGACAGGACAGAGTGTATATGATATTGAGGAGCAATAAGCCTGATTGTCTTTTCCTGTATAATCATATTTTCTCTTGCTCATCTTTAGAAACTTCATCTTCAAAATCAATGCACATGAATAGATGTGTTTCTAAAAAAGCCCTCAGCTTAAGGATGAAAGTGTAAGAAATTTAGGTCAAGCATATCTAACTAATGCAAAGCAAATAAAATGTTGATCTGTGCAATTAAAACAGCTGAACGGTAGAGTCCCAAGTACTGTATGTTGTTTAATATATTCTATACTGCATCCACAACTGGCCACAAAGAAATCAGGGAACTAAGTTAAGAAAGGAGCTAAATGGTTTGGTCCTGACTGTTATGGATCTAATTATGAGGAAGGGCTTTTCACCTTTGGAAGAGATATCTCCGGTGATCTTGTAGAGACATAAATGGTAAATATAGGAAAGGTTCATCTAGAACGCTGCTTTTAATCAAAAATGGGAGTCAGACCAGGATAAACAGATTCAAACTACAGAAAGGAAACTTCATGGTTGATATCCAAAAGTTCTACATGAAGAGAGCAATCAATAATTCGAATGGACTTTCAGGCAGATGGCAGCAATAAAAGCATGAGTATCATCAAAGAGACAAACAGAATAAGAATAGAAGGACTGTAATGTTGTTCTGGATAGACAAGTATAGTGGGCTGAATGACATTAATTATTTGTAATTACCCTGAAATCCTTTGGGCTTCTTTTTATTTCAGTGCCCATACAGCTGTGCAACAAATTCAAACTGGGCAAGTGTGATAGTATTTTGTTATTTGTTCATATGCTCTGTTTTCACTGATGGGACTGGCATTTGTTGCCCTTTCTTAAATTACTGACAAGAAGGTGGTGATGAGCCAACTCTATGTATGGCCGCAGTCCTTGTGATTTAGATGTACTCACAATGCTTTGGGGAAGGGAATTCCAGGCTTTTGGTCCCATAAACAATGACATAGTTCTAAATCAAGATGGTGTTTGTTGCCCTTGTAAGGGATGAAGACTACTGCATGACCACTGTCAAATGAGCCTTGTGAACAACCAGGAATGGAAATCTCATGATATCACTTTCCCTCTTCCTGTAATCACAAAGTTAAAAGCAATTTTATTACTTTGTTTCCAGTTTTCATACAGTTGCACATCTCTGGAATTCTTTACAACGGAGGGCTGTTGAGTCTGAGTCATTAAGAGTGTTCAAGGCTAAGATTGACAAAGTTTTAATCAGTAAAAGAGTCAAGGGTTATGCGCAAGGCAGGAAAGTGGTGTTGAGAATTTTCAGATCAGCCATGATCTGACTGAATGGCAGAGCAGATTCAGTGGGTTGAATGGCCTACTTGTGCTCTAACATCTGATGGTCTGACATCCATCAATCACATTCTTGCTGACATACTCCTCTCTAACAAGAGCCAGAAAGTCTCTGAATGGATGGACAAAAATATTTCAAAGCAGGCTGTGCAATTCAATCTGAGTAATCATGTGGTTGTTATGCAATTTATTGCAGGTAGGATTAGTTGCCAGATAATTTGTGGTACTCACATTTCCTCCCTCACACTGTCCTTTTGGCAATCACAGACTAAAATAGAGTTAATGTTAGAAATTTATCAATTATGTCATGATATCTTGAATAAATTTGTGAAGGGATGGCTCTTTATTTTATTGTGGCAGTGCATGAGCTGAAAATTGACAAAACATTTTGTATAAGATGAGATGATTACTTCCCTAAACCTTACAGCAGTCTGTAACAATTTTAGTTCTAACAATTTTAATGCTTATTTTCATTACCTTACATCATCCTGTTTGGGAATATTCCACTGTGTTTCACTGACTCCTGACAGCATCTTAGATAATCAGGAAATCAAATACCATAATATATCCTAGTTACATCATGTGAGCTATCAATTGAACTGGTTAGGAGAAAATAAGCCAACATTCCAAAGCTTGGGCTAAATTATCCCAGGTTTCCCGAAGGATAATTCATCAGTGCTTCTTTTCGAGCGTATTTTCATACACATTGTTTTTCCTTTGGAGAATAGTAGGAAGGTGATGGACTGATTCCTGGGCTAATTATCAGCCCATTTAACTATTACAAATGTTACATCTAGTCAGTAACACTGGAAGGATTTGGCCTTCCAATGTGCTGCAGGAGTTAAATATTTAGATAGGAGGCAGAGGACGTTTTTTCATTATTTAAGTTGCGTTGAATCTTGAATTAGTTTCATTGCAACGGATTTATATAAAAATGTACTTCTCCATTGTCTTTCTGTAAACTAAATCTGCTACTCATTGTGGATTGTAATGTAATTCCCTCATAATCTATTCTGTTTCAGATTTCAATTGCATGTTTGAAAGACAAAGGAGTTAATGGGAAAATACAAGACTTACTAATATCTGTGCCTGTGTGCAATATCTAACTGCAGCTGATTACCTTTTGCTGGTAACCACAAACTGCTTGCATTAAACCATTCAGTTCACTGAATTGTTGATACAAGCATTGGTTTTTTTTGGCATTGAGGGAGTTTTGTGCAAATAGGCATATTCCAAGTTTTCTGATTCAAAGGAAGCAAATGTTTCATTTTAATTAGAAATTAGTTTAGTTGCAACACAGAATCTTTTCTTACATTGTAGTGACACAGATTGGTTACTTGGGCAAACTACGCAACATGGGCAAAGAGAATAAAACAATTTTCAATATTGTATAATTATTTCTGACAATGTATTGTAAAAGAATGCAACAAATACGAAAACACTGGACAAGTAACCATCATCATAAATATAGATGTATGGCAGAATCTTATTTGAAGGCACTATCAAATTGAGGAAAGAAATAAGATAACTGTAACTGTTTTAACTTGATTGAGTTCCATTCTTGCCTGATTTCAGAGTTAAATAAATCTAGCAGTATGTTTGCGCCTGTCCTTGAATAGCATTCACACTAAACACTTGCACCAAAGGAGACTTGCCAGTTCTCAGCCACACCACTGAATGGAGTACTGTGAGGAAGCAGAGTGCTCCACTTCAGGTAGGATAATTGAGTATAAGGCTCATGTTGTGTTGCAGATGTTTGCATTTTATCAGTTGACAGCAGGCTACCCTAATCCAAAGAGTGAAATCAGGCATAAATTACATAGAATTAAAATCAGATGCAGATGGCATTGATTGCTGAAAAAGAGAGCCCTAAATTTACTTGAATTACCTTAGCCCATCAATGATGGTAGTAAACTTCCTGTTTGGCATTCCGCATTATTGAAGAAAACTAAAGCTTTTGCAGCAATTTTTGAAATAACCCTCTTGCAAAAATCTCTGACCCTATTTAAATGCTTCACTAATTCTGCAAAAGATTGAATTGTCAACTGCCATATGCAGCCACATAGCTGTTACTGCCATTGACTCAATCTAAACCAATAGGTTTTACTGGTGACTGTCCCACAGTGACAGTCAGGAGAAACCCCTTACCTGGCTATTATTTGACCACTTCAGGACCTCAACTGCTCTGAGGTTGGGTAGGCTGCTTGGCACCTACCGTACAGCTTGCCAAATATGTGAAGGAGCAGGAAGATGATGGGCTGAACACTCTCTGCCATCCAACACACTCTTACCCCCAATCTCCCAGCTCTCTCCTAGAGCAAATGTAAAATTCCAGTGATAGAACCATACAGCACAGAGTGAGGCTAATAGAAAAACTCTGACAATATATTTGTTTATTTATAGAGGCTGAGCTGAGAAATGAAACTATAATGTTGCCTTATTTTAACAACGAATAAATTGACAGAGCATACTTCTCCTTTCAAATAGATAACAAGGTGTAGAACTGGATGAACACAGCAGGCCAAGCAGCATCAGAGGAGCAGGAAAGCTGACGTTTCGGGCCTAGACCCTTCTTTTACCAAGATCTATAGCTGCTTTTTAACTAACATGAGTGCAGTATAGTTTGAGGAAGGTGTTCATGTATCCAGATGTAGATTTAAAGAATTTGGCTGATCAGACCATTCAGCAAGTTTTTGGAACATTGATGACCATCAGGACACAATTAATTTAGATGTTTCATTTAAACAAGACTTGGCAGTTCAGGAATATTTGTCCAGTTCAATCCTACCCATTACAAACCAACACCAAAAAGTATTGCTAACTCTTTGCTTTCATACAAATATTGAACTTATTGAAGGAACTAATGGTGTAAATCACATTACCAAATGTGCTGGAATTATCATTTTATCAGGAAATGTTAACTGCAATGGCGTCCATGAAAATAAAAATCAACATATTTTCGTATACACTTTTTATTAAGATAAGCATTAAAGAGTTAAAGAAGGAAATAGAATATTATTTTAATGTATTGAAGTGGGTTTTCTAAACTGCAAAGTCATCATGACCCAACTTTATTCCACACCATTTTATTGTATATATTTCTCCATTTTGAAGTTTAAATGGGAACATCTTTCAGTGTTACAGAGGCATCCTGTTACGAGAAGTGTTGGTGAGACAATAGTGTCGCTAGGGCTGTATTCTGAAGATCCAGGTGATGCTCTGGGGATTTTATTGCAAATCCCACCATCAGACAGTGGAATTTGATTTTTTTTTTAAAAATTGGAATAAAAGTCTAATGATGACTATAAAACCATTGTTCATTGTCATAAAATCCCATCTGGTTCACCAATCTCCTTTTGTAAGGGAATTCTACTGTCTTTACTTTATCTGACTTACCTGTGACTCCAGATCCACAGCAGTGTGATTGACTCTTTACTGCCCAATAGGTTGACATGGTCATACGCAGAATCAGTACCTTCCATAAAATACCAT